AACCAAATCATGAAGCCTGAGCCCTAGCCTGCTTCCAAACGGTAGTAGCTTAACCTAAGTAGCTTACCAAACTTACCTCCTTACATCTCCCATAACCTTACTTGTTAGCCACTTCTAAGCTTAGGCTAGTAGGTTTGAGGCCGCTTCTAGCTTGGAGCTTAGCTACCTGTAAGCTTAGGGCTAGGCCCTACTAGCTACGGCCTGTCAACTCCAAGTCGTGGTGACTTGGTGACTGACCTTGGAAGCGTTCTCCCGGCCGAAGCCATCGGCAACTGGCTGTCAGCGTCGTTCGGAATCTTTCTGCAAAAAGCTCCTAGTAGCGATGCCCTTTGTTCCTAGATGTTCCTAGTAGCGTCTTTCAATCAAGTGTGTTCGGGTTTTGAGAAAGGATGAATCTAAGAACAGACTTTGGCGTGGTATGCCTGCCTCGCAGGACCGCACCTTCAAGTCGATCTTCCAGCTTGGACATGCGCGCATCGAATTCCTGGACGGAGTCCCCTAGTGCCACTATGCGCCACTAGGTCCGAGCAAAGCAACCCAACCCGAGCAACGCATTTCGAGTACCTCTACAATGCTTGTGATGTGCGATGTGTTTGATTGTGTTTGTATGTCTTAGAGAATGTGTTTCTGTGGTGTCTTTGGACGTTGCTACCGGAGTGTTTGTCTCGGATATTGACATAAAACATACAATATGACTTACATGCACAGGTGTGTGATGAAATCTTAAGTGTCCTCCAAATCGACATGCCTTGACATGCCTTTTCAGACTTGTCTTACGAGTCTCAAACTTGCTTCTCAAAATACTCGCCTCACGGTACTGGGCCAGTTGTTGCAAAACCAAAGCCTCATCGGATTCAAACAAGCACTTCCCTGCGATCACAGCCTTCATGTCAAAAACTTCAAGCATCTCTGAAATTTGGAACTTGGACTGCTTCTTTTATGAACATGTGGCACATGTGGTATGAAAACGATAGATGTGGTTCAATTTGTGAAGTTGTTCTGATTGAGCACTGTATTTTGGCTATGCTGCGCCTTCACAGAGACGATCTCCTGTGAGAGAACCTCTCGTAGAGGTGACAACCCATTTTTGGGATTCGAAGAGGTGCGAATACGACGGCGTCCAAATTGTTCGAAGCCAAAGCGGCCGAAGCTCCTCCCGAATTCGTTGGACTGCGAAACCTGTCTGGGAGTAGGTCGGTACGGCCAGGAACCCCTAGTATAGCGTCCTTGCTCCTAGTAGCGATGCCAGGAGCCCCTATTAGCGTCCTTGTTTCTAGTAGCGATGCCAGGAGCCCCTAGTAGCGTTCTTGCTCCTAGTAG